TGAGCCCTGGTTTTGATAGCCTACAATAGCCAGTAATTTTCAAAAGCTCACATATTGTTTATCTGTCCTGAGTTAGTACCACCATAGTCTCTAGTTTAGTTATAATGTCCCTTTCTAGCCAGGGAATAAGGCTCTCTGGCATTATCAGGAAAGAATGAGAAAAAATTAGGTTTCCCCTGTTATGCCGAGAGACACAGAGACCAACTGAGACCACTGAAGCCGAATTAAGCGAGTCTTTATTACCAGCCAGGACCGCACAGAGTTAACACAGAGCTCTAAGTGTGCGGCCCCGAGTTCAAGGACTTAGGGCTTTTTATAATGAGCAAGCAGGCAAGTAGGCAGTGGAGAAGCAGAACTGAGCGGTTACTGCAGAAAGGCTACAAAGTGGTAAAGAGAGCAGCCCTTATCCTGGTATGTAGGAAAACATTCGTTTGTTTGCAGGCACGGTTTAGGGTTTTGGGGAGTTTCAAGGGAATAGCCATTATCTCAAGGACAAAGTATGCAAACTGTGTCATAAATAACCATTAATAGGGAACATTAACCCTTGTCTTCTTGTTTGTTTTTTCCTTGCACCTGAGGATAGTCACGCAGCCCTCGGAGTGCAGGCCCAGAAGGTAAACTCTGGGTCAAGATGGAAGGGCTGAGGCTAAATTCATGTGCAACACCCCAAATACATCCCAGGGGCTGAGAGAAAAATTTAGTTAGAAGCTTTGCAGAAATGCCTCTGATCATCACGCTGTGTTTAGATGGTTGGCCTGGAATGGGAAGGAGGACAGAAAAGGGAGCTCTGGTGTCAAGGGGGCAATCAGCCAGTTTTCCTTCTATATTTAGAGTTACCCGAGGCTCTTGAGTTTCTGATAGACCGTCGAGGCTCTGAGTTTCTGATAGACCGTCGGTTTAGGGGCGCCACCGTGCAGAGCCCCAGGCCCTGGTCAGTCCCTTCCAGGGACATGGGTTATCTGAGCCCTCACCAAGAGAAGTCCCCAAGGGCATTCAGAGCTCCAGTGATTGTTTCCATATCAGGTGCATGGCTTATGGGGTTTTTATTTTGCTTGTCTCCTCTGAGGATGTTCTCATTTTAGTGCTCTGAATGGCCATATGAATGGCACTTGGTGCCAGGACCTCGGGAATTCTGGTCTGACATAGTCCATAAGGTTACAACTAAGGCCTCGAATGGTTTTCTAAATCTTCCTTTTGTGTTTTGTTTGTAATCTACCCAATTGGCAGCTCCTGCCAAGGAGCTCCTGCAAGCTCCCTTCAAGGTCAACAGCCAATTTTTGCATTTTCTCTGAATATCAAGGGCTGATTGAGTGTCAGATTTGTCCTTTAAAATCATCTCAGCCTTAAGGGTGTCAGGGGGGATAGCCATATATTTAATGAGAGCCTCTCTCAACCTCTCCAGGAAGGTCATCGGGCTCCCATTTTGTGTTTGTGAAATAGTGGCTGATTTAGCAGAATTTAAGGGCTAACTCTTAGATTTCCTTAACTGTTTTTTTTTTTAAAAAACATCTGTCTCATTAAGAGTCTGATTTGACAAAAGCATTATATCTTTCCAGGACAACTCAAAAATATATGTAATATTCTGAAAAGCCTTTATATATTTATCCGATCAGAAAATGTATCTAGATCTCCTTTTATCTGTCTTAAACTTCATTGTGTAAAGGGTTTTTTGCTTCTGGCATTCTAGCTTCTTTTAAAGGAAATATGCTTGTTACATTACAGGGAGGGCCTGGATAATGTGGGTAGCAGGGAGTAGAATTATGTTTTTTTAAAATATAGATTGAGGACCTGAGGAGGAGGAGGTTGAGATGGAAGACTTCCCTTCCTCCTTCCTCTAGGTCTGTTTTGGATCCAGGATCCAGGCCCTTAATTGTTTCTCCTCCTGATTGCTGGAGCTTAGAAAGGGGTGCCATTAAATTTGAATCCACCTTACATTGCTTACACATGTCTTGTTTTTTTTTCTTAAGTCTCAAAAGCAATGCACATAGGAGACTTTTCCCCATGTCCCTTCACATTTTCAAAACAAGTCCAATTGTAGATAGTATTGTCATTGATATTTCCCTCTGGAGGCCAGGTTCCCTCTCCCAATTTGTACTGGGGCCAAGCCATTCGGCAAAGAAAATGAATCAAATGCATTCGAAAGGAGTAATGGCCTTGGTTGGGGAATTACCCATCTATAGGAAAAAGGAAGAAAGATGTCACTTATCTCAATTTCCCATAGCTGGCCAGGAGAAACCTCATCTCCTGGGCCCCGTGTTTTGGCTGGCTATGCAACTGGCAGCCAAAAGCTCTCTCGGTCTCCTGAGGTGCTGGGAGTAGTAATTTTTACCTAGGCTTGATTGACTTTACCTCTGAGACCTGACCTAGTCTTTCCTGTTTTTTTCTTACTCCTATGTTTCCCACTTGTAGGACGTTGGGGGTATGGATTGTGACCAAGCAAGACTTGCCTGGTTGTCATAGGAAGCACTAATTTTATTTTGGCCCAACAGTTACTTACCTATTGGTCATTGGCCATTGAGGGAGGGAGTTAAAGGGCAAAGTGAAGGTCTATTCCCCTGCCTTTTTCAACAACACCCACATAAATAAGTTTTAGCCATGTGGATGTCCATGTTTGGCATACAATGGGCTAAGTTTAGTAAAATTGCTCCAATGTATCTTAGTAAAAGCCCTTCATATATCATCCATCCCTCATATGGCAGAGGTATCCATTCCTCTGCTAAACAGGAACAACACAAGTGTGGACGATTTGGAGGCCGGCACCAAGGACATCACCATCATTTTCCCAGCCTTTGGATGGAAGGAGGAGGCATTTTAATCTTAACCCTGTGTACTTTTAAATACCATTTATTTTAACCTTAGTCTGTCCTGACCACACATAAACTTCTTTTTTAAATATTATCTTTCACGAACCTTCTGCAACTTTTCTTCGCATTTAGATTTTGTCCCAAGCCGTTTCTCTCCAATTAACCAGTCTCACTTAGGACAAAATTATTTTCTTTTACCTTTAACAAAAATATATTTTCTTTTCTTACAGCTTTCTTTTATATCTACTACTTTTCTACATACAGAGTTGCTTTTCTCATTTTTATCTGTTTTAACTACATGGAGCAGAATTTTAACTCTTAGAAACCTTAGTCTCCGGTGAAAACTAAGTAATAACCAATTGTGAACTCTATGTTACATCAGAATTTTTTCTAGATGGCAAACTTATGAATCCATTCAGCACAAAGCATGTTTTTCAACAGTTCCAAATATCCTTAGTTTTTTTTGCAACAACTTAAAAAGCACAGACCTACATCTAGTAAATGGTGCTTTAGGCTCTTATCTCGTTAGATAGCCAATGAATTCAATCTCAATTTATCATGCAAGCAAAACTTTAACGGTTTAGGCTACCAAACACTTTGAAAGCTATCTTAACAATTACCCATGAAAACTATGAGACAGACAAAATTAACAATCACTTTCAGTCATCCTTTTGTTAACAAACTGGAACAGAGATAACACGAGCTAAAGAAGGTCAAATAGACTTTCAGCAACTCTAGGCAGACTAATTTTTTTTAACGTTGATAAACATGGTCTATCTCAAACCAACAAATCTAAATTAGCTTAAACATTGAATGCATTTTACTTGAGTCCACATAAGACAGTTTGTTTCCCATGGTTAATTTTTACCTGGAATATTAGTGGGGAAATCTGACGTGGTGGTCTTCGCTCCCGGACATCCAGGGCGGTAGGAGGAGCTGATGGCGCCTGAGGCATTGAGGAGCCAGTTGTGCAGGCCGCCCACCAGGTGGTGCAGAAACCGGACCGGATGGGGGGAAGGAAAGGCAGCGAAGGGCCGGCAGAAGGCGGACAAAGAGAATTCCCAGCCTTAAATCTTGTCAGCTCAGACAGAGGAGCGGACTCTAGGTTTCTTTTGTTTTGTTTTCCACCAGTGGAATTAGGCAGTCCGTGGCAGTCCAGAGAAGACAGGGAATTTCCCCAAAACAAAAGGAGTTTCAGCAGCTGCTTGGGATTGTTCCCTGAAGTCCCTGTTCTGAGGTAGAATAACCAGAGACAGTTGGCTCTAATTATCATAGTCATTGACACAAAAAATGAATGAGAGACATGTCCCCATACACAGTTATAAGGCATCTTCAACTTACCACCCAGCACCCAGCACCTTAGAGTTGCAGCTTCATTCCTCGTCCCTTGTGGAATTACTAGTACAAGTCTGAGAGGTGATCAGGCTCCCCTTCTGCCTCTTAGGGGCAGGTCTGCCAAAACAAACCTGGGTTCTTACCACTCTGACAGGCGCTCCCTGAGCTGGTTCCTGGGCCTCACAGGTTCCATTAGCGTACATGGGCCCTTGCCTGGCACGCCATGAGGGCTAATCTCCTGCTGATGAAGCGGTCTGCTGGTGCCAGGGGAGGCCACCTCTCGGCTCCGAGGATCGTTATCTCCGGTGGCAAAGGAGGTGAAAACACACCATCTCTAAATCACGGATGCGAGCTGCCAAGTAACGTAGCAGGATTCTTGCACAGAGAGTTGTAACCTCAAGGATTTTCTTTCCAGGAAGCAACTTTATTCATGCCAGCACCGCTCAATTCGATTGTTACCGAAAGAACTGAGCCCCTCGATGTAGCTTTTTATATATTTTTTACTTCTTTGTCTCCCATATATGGTATCACACACAAACATGCAGTCTGATTAAGTGGTCTCATGTTACAAGGTCATGAGGGATGTTGTCACATAACGCAAACAGCCAGGTTGCCTAGAGGTTTTTTTCTTTCCTTAGGGAGGGGACCCTAACACATGGCTATCATCGTTAGCACTGCTATTGTCATTCAGTTGCATGAGGCCCTTGGAATCAGTAGTTTTGTATCCTTTGGGTAGATACCTAGTACTGAAGTTGCTGGATCATTTGGAAGTTTTATTTTTAACTCTTTGAGGACCCTCCAAACTGTGTGGGAAGGTTGCATTTTTGTCATTAATGGAACATATTTCTTGCACCTTCTCAGGAAGTGATGACCGATAAAGCAGAAGAGTCTGTTTTTGGGCCTGAGAACCAAATGAAAGGTCATGCAGAATCCGTGACTCCTCCTCCATGTAAGAGAAGGCTGACTATGGCAATGTTGTCAGTGATACCAGAAGGAGAGGGAGCATCCCAGCCCAGGGGCTCAGCCGTGACCTTGGAAGGTGGTGAGGATGCCTGTCCCCCCCACTTCCTTTCCTGCCCCAGTACAGCCTGGCTCCTGGCTCCTCACCGCCACTGGAGCAGTTCCCCTTGAGGGCACCAGCTTTGGGTGACGCTGCCCTTAATTTCTCGGCCACATTGGGTACCCATGTTCACTCTCTCCTTCGTGGAAACCTTCCCGGATTCCCAAACTCCGCACTCTACTGGTTTCCTTCTTACTGAATATTCCTTTGCTTTCTTTCTTGGCTCTGCCTTCTGTGTCTCCTCTTAATACACTACTCCTTCCTGGGTCCCACCATCGGGATGTCCCTCATGCCGCACACCTCCTCACTCAGCAGGCCGCTCGCTGCACTAGCTTCTGAGCTCACAGCCTGCCCTCCCACGTGACGCTCCTGACCCATCACCGCCCCGCAGCCAGAGTGACCCTGTGCGCACGGAAATCCCTTCATGCCACGTCCACCCTGAAGCCCGCCATCCACTCCCCCGAGCGCTCAGAACAGAATCGGAGCTCCCGACGCTGGTCTACGCGCTCCGCAGGACCCGGTCCTGCCATCCTCTCCTGCGCGTGTCCTCTGGGAGGGGGGGTCCTCCTTGCTCTCTCTGCCTCTGTCCTTTCTCCATGGCCCCGGCTCGTCCCCTCCTAGGGGCCCTGCACTGGCCCTCACGGCAGCCGGAAGTCCTCCTCCTCACGTGCACACGGTCCCCCAAATCCTGCTCCAGGGATCACCTCCTGAGGGTCCCTTCCCGACTCCTCCTGCTGTCTGCCACCACCCTGATATCGTGCTTCCTAGCGCAAGTTCAAATGTATTGTCCCCTTTGCCTGTTTTACATGTACCACCCAGCTTTCCCTGGAGGCTATTCATTCCACGAGGACAGGAATCCTTCCTGCTGTGTTCACTCCTGATCGCTAGGTTGGCATGGTGCCTGGCACAGCGGAGCATGAGGGAATGAAGTAGAGGGGTCAGACGTGGAGGACAGAAACACTCATGTCAGAGACAGAAAAGACTGATGAGCAGGCCCGGTACTGACTGGGAGTGGTAGAGGTGCGGTGCCGGTGTCAGGCCCGCTGCCGCGAGTGACGCATTCAGCCTTTCAGCTTGCAGAGGGCGTCAAGGAGACATGAAATGATGAGCGCCAGGGCTCTGTGAATGTTTGGTCAATTCATTATTAAACAAACCGTCCAGGTGTGTTTCTGTATGTATGCATCGTGCCAAGATTATAGGAGGCTTCTCTGTAGTGTTAGTTTTCCCGAGGTCAAGTTCTCAGGTCCCATTCATGTATCAGGTGCATCCTTCTGATAGGTCATAAAAACGATAGAGACTGCGGAGCACGTGCATGTCCGTGCGGGGTTGTGGACCTGCCTGTCATCGCAGCCCCACATTACATTTGGTTTCCAGATGCACCTGTTGTTCATTGTATCCACGGGGAGGTGAGGGAAAGTGGTCGATCCACACTGAGGGCTTCTGGTCAAAATCCGTCCCCCCAGAGCCTGTGACTGTGGCAGGAGATGGTACTCCACACCAACCAATAGGATTCTTTGTCTCATGACTTAACCAGTCTCAGCAAAGGTGGGCGAAGTCACAAACCTAGTAGGAATGCATTGGTGTGGGGCGCCTGGTGGCTCAGTCCTTTAACCATCTGACTTCAGCTCAGGTCATGATCTTATGGTTACTGGGTTCGAGCCCCATGTCAGGCTCTGTGCTGACAGCTAGCTCAGAGCCTGCAGCCTGTTTCAGATTCTGTGTCTCTCTCTCTCTCTGACCCTCCCATGCTCATGCTGTCTCTCTCTCTTTCTCAGAAATAAATAAAACATTAAAAAAAAAAAAAGGAATTCATTGACGGGAGGAGTCATTACCAGCTCTGTCTCTACAGATAACCCCAAGGTCACAGCGATGTCTGTGCTGGGAGAAGTGCCAGATAAACTTCCCATACCGATGGAAATCAATATCGAAATAAGAGATCAGTTAAAGAGGGAGATTCGACAGTTTGGACGAAGTAAGTACAACGAGAATTTCTATCCATGAAGCAAACCACAGTAAGTCTTCCTCATTCTATGATTTGAACAAGATTCCACAGCACCCTTGAGACTCATCCTTTGCCAGAATTGGGTTTCCCCAGTGGGAATTGTTCTTCTTTATTTTACTGAAATATCCCAGGACACCTTTTTTGGGAGGGGGGGTTCTTTTGTATTTCTCCATTGGTTGTTCTGTGCCAACCTTCCACTGGTAGACGTCCGGGTGTCTGGATGTGAGCATGTAAGGCACATGTCCTCTGTCACAATGTAGGGCTTGAATGATTGCTGAGGCATCAGATACACCAAGATTGACTTCTACATTCTCTTTATACTTCAGAGATACTGACAGGTTTTTTTTTTTTTTTAAATATCTCCAGAATATGATAGAATCTTCAAATTGCTTGAAGGAGTGCAAGGGCCTCCAGAAGTGCAGAAAAAAATGATCTTATATGCCATGAAGGAAGCAGCGAGGTGAGTGTGAGAAACTCTTTAGTACATTTCACAGCAGGGCCCAGTGCTGTGTTGGCTGAGGGGTAGGGACGGGACTGCCATGTGTTTCTCAAACCCTGGTCCTCACTCAGAGTTTATGCTATCTCTGGACTTCTTAGATGGATATTCTCTGAGCATCATTCATTCTTCCAAGCTGAGGGAGACTTCTGTTCACAACACAGTTTGAGGTGGACACGGACCCTGAACTGACACTCTTACAAAGTGTAATTGCTGAACCCCTTACAAAGTGGGTCCATTTTCTATTCCCATGTAGATTGGAAGCTTCTATTTCTGTCTCCCCAAAGCCTCCCAAATTATGGGTTCTTGGATATCTTTTGGTTAATATCTTGTTTCTTTATTTTCAGATTTAAAAGACAGGACTTAATAAGCCACCTTAAGAAGTTACTAGAAAAACTAGAATCTGGCCTCCTTCTCAATGAAGATAATCCCAACTCAAATTGATAATCCCATTATTGAAATGATCATTGAGAAACCAGGAGCAATTGCCTTCCTGAGAATGGAACCCCATGTTGTTGATACCTCCTCGCATGCGTTTTGTAAGAAAATTGTTTTCTTGAGGTCAAGAAACACAGTTAGAACTTTAATGTAATAAGTTTCTGTAAGTTCAGGCACGTGGGTGGCTCTGTTGGTTAAGCATCTGGCCTCGGCTCAGGCCATGATCTCACGGTAGGTGGGTTCAAGCACCACATCGGGCTCTGTTGACAGCTAGCTCAGAGCCTGGAGCCTGCTTCAGATTCTGTATCTCCCTCTCTCTCTGACCTTCCCCTGCTCTCGCTGTCTCTCTCTCTCTCTCTCAGAAATAAATAAAACATTAAAAATTTAAAAAAAAAAGCTGAGCATTTGCACTAGATATTTTGTTTCAATGACCAATTTCTGTGTGTGTGTGTGTTCTTTTCCCCCTGAAGGGGGGAACCCCCTTAGGCCATCAGGTTACACTCCATCCTAGTTCCTCAGCGGGTCCCAGGCCTGTAGCTGGCATTCAGAACTGTCTTCTCTACTAGCCATTTCATCTTCGTTTGTCCTGAAATAGCCGTTCACCTGGTCCTCTGACTCAACCTGAGGGATGATTCACACCTCGATTACACACAGAACCGACCAGTACATGTCCTGCCTGAACTGAGTTGTTATAATTTCCTTTGACTTGATTCACCAACGTGCGAGCGCAGGGAGACACCCAAACATCGTGGACATCTCCCTCCTCAGTGTCTCATGCAGCTGGAAGCCAGTGTCCTTAATCGGGTTCCATCTCCCCACATTTTGCCTGATGGTTGAGGTTGATGAGCATCCAAACTGACTGCTGGGCAGTGTCTATTTCCATTTCAGTGGGGTCATTGTTGGGGCGCTTGTGGAAAACATTCCTCCTTTGCAAAAAGCCCTCCAGCATGGGGAAGCCTAAAGCTCTGGGGACAGGAGAGAAAATTTTGCTACTGAATACATAGGAGCAATAGTGAGAGGAGCGTCTCACATCGCCATCCCTTCAGTAAGGAAGATGTGAATTGCACCTATGGGAGAGACAGCTCTCTCTCTTGGCAAATGAGGGAAAGCATGACACCCTCTAAATTCTATTTTCCCAGCCCCTCAAGGTACTGTTTCCAACTTAGAACCAAAATCGTGGCTCTAAAATTTCATTCTATGATTTTTCTTGTTGAAACTGCCCCTTCAGGATAATCAGGCAGATCATAAATCTCTAGTGAATTCCATCAGCATGTGCCCCGTGAAGCAATATCCTTGCTTTTAAGTGTGCTGTGTGGAAATCCATGTCACAGGTAAGGCTTTTTCTAATTCCATGAATGTTGGATTTCTCAAAAATCTATGGGTGAGAAGGAAGATCTTTATGTAAAACAAAGGTGAATTCATGTACAAAGGTCTACATTTCCCTGAGGAAAGAGACCAAAATATCAGCCTGCCAACTGGTAGCTGATTGACCACTTGGGGGAGTGACGCCATATCGGGTGCTCAGTGTTGGTCTGCGTACCTGATGCAAGGAGCAGTCAGCAGTATCTACCACGACCAGCCTTGGTGAGTGGCTGTTTATGTTCATGGGCCATGCGTGACATTCATCCCTGCCTCCATGACCATGATGCACCATTACTACTTGGAGGAAGGAGGGGTGCCCCTAAGGAGCTATGGGGGTGGTCCTGGATGCTCAGAGTGGCCTCAACTGAGAGACAGAAAGGAAATGGGGGCCTCATTCCTACAAACTGAAGAAACTAGGCTTGACAAAAACCTGAAAGGGCATGGCAGCAGTTTTTCTCTCTTGAGTTTCCAGTTAATGACCCATCATGGTCAACAACTTGACCTCAATTCCTTGAGACCCTGAGCACAGAAACTTAGAATACCTGCGTGGAATTCTGAGTGATGAAATTGCTTGATAACACATTTGTGTCATTTCACACTGCTAAATATCAGCTAATTTAATATGCAGCTTTAGCAAACTGATATGGGCAAAATGCCTATATATAGGGAAGTAACAAATGAAAATCAGGCATGATGTGATTCTTTTCCATTCAAGTGATCACAGAGACCTTCCCATGAGGCCATAGTGGAGGGTCAGAGAACTTTTCTCTTCTGGGCCCTGCTCCAACCTAGCCGATTTTCAGGTCACATGTCAGTGGGTCATAGTACCACAAAACCACAAGACCACAAGCCATGTTATCAACAACCCCTGATGGGCCAACTCTTTGCTCTATGTCTCTTTTTGAATGTCAAGATAGTTGAGATTTACCAGTTTGCTCTTCATCATACAAGCATAACCGTGACATGTGCCAGACTACTAACTACATGACTAAACTTTTCACTAAGTTGTAAGGCTTCTGATTTTCTGTGAGAATTCTCTCCTACATCCTGTCTTTCAAGTATGTTGCCAATGTGTCTATATGAGTTTCTCCTTCCTTCTCAAGGAGAATAACATCATCGAGGCAAAGGAAAAGGGCAGTGCCTGATGTTAGGGACAGGTGTTCAAGGCCTGTGAGGAGTAGTTTATGTCATGAGTTCAGAGAGTTGATATAAGCCTGAGGTAGGAAGTGACGGTGCCCTTTCCAGCTGACGTTAAGCTCTTCCTGGATAGGTTTTCTAAAAGAGGGGAAAGCATTTGCTCA